CCCCCCGCTGGCTGAACCGGCTCGCGGGCAGAGTGCGGCGGCGCGCGGGACATCGGCGGCGTCCTGGAGGGGAGCGTCCCTGCGCGGGGCTCGCCATGGGGATGCCTCGGCAAAGATTGCTCAAGGGATAGCGTCAGCTTGCGATGAACGTAAAGTCGGGGGCGTGTGACAAAAAGAAAACACGTTCCTCTTTTCATGCACATCGCCGGGGGGGCGCCCGCCAAAGTGAAACACACGGCGGCAGCGCTTGTGATTAGCGCCGACGCCCTGCCGACTGCACGAGGGAGACATGCGCGACGCAAGCGGCACCGCTGCAGCGGAGGGGCACAGCCGCGCCTCCGATATAGCGGGGCGGCTGGGCCAGAATAGCTGCAGACAGGAATGGAAGATGAGGCGGGGGGAAGGAAGCGTCTCGGCTGGCGGGCGGTGCTGGCACGGCCACGAACAAGAAGAAGGAGAGGGGGGAGGGGTGGAAGAGGTACGCGGAAAAGCGCTTCGCTCTCTCCTTTTCCATCCCCCCGCTACAGCGTCCTACGACGACGACGACAACGACGGCGACGGCAGACGACCACGCACTGCGGATGCTCCACGGGGGAAAAATGTGGGCGGGGGTGCTGCGTACGGCCGCTGTCGTCGCCGATGACGAAGGCGACGGAGACGACGACGGAGACGGCGACGGCGAAGGCGGACGACCACGCACTCCGGATGCTCCTTGGGGGGGGGGCGGGGGGTGTGCCGCGAATGCCCGCCATAGTCGTCGACGACGATGGCGACGACGACGACGACAACGGCGGCGACGGCGGCGACGACGGCGGCGGCGGCAACGATGACGAGGACGCGAACGCGGACGGCGACGCCGGCGACGACGACGAACGACGACGACGCACTGCGGATGCCTTTTTTTGGGGGGGTGATGCGTAGGCCCGCTGTAACCGACGACGATGGCGACGACGAAGACGACGACGACGACGAAAATGACGACGACGACGACAACGGCGGCAGCGAAGGCGGCGGAGGCGGCGACGCACTACAGATTCACCGCGGATGGCCTGTGGGGGGTGGGGGTGGGGGGTGGGGTGCTGCGTAGTCACGCACTAATCGACGACGGCGACGAAGACGACGACGACGACGTCCGACGACGACAAAAGCGATGACGAAGACGACGACGAGGACGACGACGACGAGGACGACGACGAGGACGACGACGACGACAATGACGAGTGGACGGCGACGGCAACGTCGACGCACTGCGCACTGCGGACGTGTTGCTGCTCGGGCCTGCTGTAGTCGACGACAACGACGGCGACGACGACGGCGACGGACGACGACTACGACAACCGCGACGGCGACGTCGACAGAGTCAACAACACGACGACGACGGCGGCGACGCCGGTGCACTGAGGATGGCCCGCTGTACACGGCGACGACGACGAGGACGAGGACGACAACGACGACGGCGGCGACCAAGAGGCACCGATGATTGCCCGCTGTAGTTGACGACGACGACGACGACGACGTGGCACGCCAGTAATCAGCCTGAGGGGGGGACAAACTTCGCCTCGGATGCACACGATTCCTTTAGCAACTTCAATACGAAGAGCAATCGTTTTGAGGCTGCCGTGCAGGGGGATACACGATCCCCTCGACTGTGGCCGCGACGACCCCCTGGCGAGCGCGATTAAAAGACATGTTTCGCGCCCTGCGGGGTCTGTTCATCAGCCCCGGGGGGGAGGGCCTCATCTGTTAATCACAAGCTGACATTCGGGGGGTTACAAAGGGATGCCAAACAAGGTGAGTGTGCATCTGGGCCCAAACATGGCTCATAAAGTGGGTTACACGTGCCCCGAGTGGTTCAGGGAGGTTAGGTAACTCCGTGAAGTGGGCGGAGCCCACCTAGCCCAAATCGCTGAACCCCCTGAGCCACGGCAAGTGTAACCCGCGTATCAGCCATCTTGGGCCATATATAGCCACCTTGGCATAGGCTTGTAAACTCCCCTATCCCCATCAGCAACCCACGCGGTCATCTCAGCAATCATGGCCCGAGGAGCGTGCACGCACCAGGGGGTCCCGCGGGACCCATGGACAGAAGAAGAGGGGGCCACGAGATCCTGGGCAACTTCATGGACCTGGCCACGATACCACCCCCCTCCCGCTGGGCATCGCCCTCCTCTTGGGCGCCCCCGAGCAAGAACGGGAGCAATTCCGAAGATTGGCTGGACCTTCCAACTGGCGCTGCGGCAGGCAGGCGCTCAGTTCAGCTGAGAGGCGCTGCTCGGAGATAAGACGAAGCCAGGTCGAGGATAAATTCGGGTGAGGATGAATCGAGAATCTCTGAGATCGGGCGACTCTGGAGCATGCACCGCGCGCCGCGGCCTTCTCAGAGCGTTCGGGAATGCTATGAAAACGTTCGAGAACGCTCTGAAAGCGGTCCGGAACGCTCTGGGAGACGGATTTATTCTCGTCCTTGCCCCGTCCGAAGAGGCGACCCACTGGGCCCGGATGCACACGCGCTGCTCAGGTGTCGGGGGCCCGGTCCAGATGTCGACACGCTGGCGCGGAGGCGGCAGACAACGGTAAAAAGGGCTGCTCGGGTACACAGCGGGCACCTCGATGCAACCTTCGAGCTGTTCTCCTTGAGTACGGCAGGTTCGTGTCGGGCCGACTTCGGCGTTGGTTTCTGACCCCGCGGGGATCGTTCAAACTTGAACGATCGGCCGTTTCCGAAACGTCAGACCGTTCCATATTGGGCGATTCTGGGTCACCAGCTGCGCTCAACCTTGAACGCTGGTGGCGGGGTCGTCATCGTCGACACGACGCGAACCTACCGCAATTAGGCGCTGAGCGGGCAGGGCATCACAACGACACGGGGAGCCCAGGGGACCCTGTCAGCGCTTGTTGCCTGCAGATCACCCGCGCACCGCCGCCGTCTGATATCCTTGCCATCGCTCGGACGTCCATTCCGCGTGCACGTCTCGGTTTCGTGCGCTACAAGACGATCCAAGATTCTCTTCGATGGTCCTCGACGCGAAAAAACACACGTCCGAGCGATGAGCGATGCCAAGTGTCAGGGCAAAACAAGCAGGGGCGGACGAGGAAGAGGGGGGAGGAGATGAGTGAGCAAGGGAGGAGGCGAGTCGCACGCAAAGGTGGGTGTGGAGGGATGTGGAGAATGGATGAGGAGGGAGGATAGAGGAGACGCGGGTCAAGACCAAGACCAAGAGAAGCTGGGAACCAATCCAAACCAGATCGCGGGGGGCACAAGAGTGGATGGCCTAGCTGAACTTATCTATTAACCTTTAGAACAGGTCAAGCTACCACAGATGCGCAATCCTAAATGGGGCATCGCCTAGCGAATCCAAACCCTCGATGTCGATGTGGGGCTCTCGCTCGAGCGAATCACCCCAGCTGGCCACAAAGGCGCACCAGAGAAGGAGGAGAAGGAGGAGGAGGAGGAGGAGGGGGAGGAGAGACTAGACCAGACCATGCGCTGCGCACTGCTCCTCAGAGTCTCGTGAGCAGATGCATGTCCCTGGCCATCTTGGTGTGGCCAAGCGCTCGCCCCTTCTCGAGCGCTCTGAAGCACTCAAGCCAAGGGAAGTGGAGGCGGGGGAGGCTAGGGCAGGAGGAAGAGGGAGGAGGAATGGAGGGGAAAGGGAGGGAAGCGATGGGGGACGGAGGGCGGGCGGGGTGGCAAGGGGGAAAGGGGAGGGGATGAGAGGACGGGGTGAGGTGAGCGCCCCAACCGCGTCCTCCGCGCCCCCCTCATCCGCACCCCGCCTCCCCATCCGCATCCCACCCCCTGCCCGTTTGCCCTCCACCACGCCACGGGCCGATGCCCCCCCCCCCCCCCCGGGACCGCGACCACATGCACGTGGACCTGGCAGAGCAAACCTGTGTGCCCCCACAAACTCCGCCTCCTGATCATTCTTATTGGTACCCGTCCGCTCCTCAAGCGTTTCGGTATTGGGGGGCGATGAATGGGGGCTGGGATCGAGGGTTGCAGGAAAGGGCCCCTAACGGGACCCCGAAGGTGCACAGACGGCGCGCCTGTCTTCAACCTCCTGTCGACCCCCCCTCTTCACAACACGCCCGAGCTCCCCAATTCCTCCTCCTCCTCCTCCTCCTCCTCCTCCTCCTCCTCCTCCTTCTCCGTCTCCTTCCCCCTTCTCCTTCTGCGCCTCTTCTCCCTGCCTGGGTCCGTGCGTATCCAAGAGTGCGCACCCCATACGCCCTTCTGTCCGACAGAGTCGCTGGGACGAGCCGCGCAGCACCAACTAAAGTCGACGCCTGACCGTTCGAACAAGCGGCATCACTGTCGACGCCAAGCGACTGGCATCTGAACGTCGCACTGGCTCAACGGACAATGGGCAGAGGCTGCGTAAGATGGGGCGCAGGAGCAGGAGGGAGACATACGGCACGCTAAAGGCAAATAATATAGGAATTGCAAGAACCGTGACAGGACGTGGACACGGACATGTCACGCACATACACGCATGTGCACACTTACCATACACATATAATGTTAGCAAGGAGTGGCCAATTGCAAGCTGTCCATCTACGTCTACCCCCGACAATATGATATCAGCCATGCAACTATCGCATAGACTCAGCAAACCACTCCACTGTCATTCCCGTCTACACTCGGGTTGTTACTGACCCCAGCTGGTGGCGCGAAGCAATGTGTATCAACAACCACGTCGTAAACAACCCAAGCCTTTAATACAGGTCTAGGCCCTTGCTGCGAGCCACGTACATGCAGCGACATCCACGTTTTAAGTGATCAGTCTCTTTGATGATTCATGCAACACTGTGCCTCTCACTACTGCCAAATGTCGCCACACGAGGTACAGCCTTCGGGGAAAACGTAATATCGAAAGACCACGTCGTTCAGTAGTCCACAATGTGATACCAACATGTGCATGGTGTTCCCACTGATCTCGCCTGTAATGCTGCCCAAGGCTGCGTGCACAGAAAGTGCGAGGGTGAAACACGCATGTAGCCTACACTGGTTCTGACGCAGGGCAATATCTTAAACTGCTCAAGCTTGCAACGGAAGCCTCAGGTCGAAGCTCACTGTGCCCCCATAACAAACCAATGCATGAGGCCCATAACCTTAATCAGACAAGAAACGCAACTGACCACAGACCGAAGGATCGACAAGGAACGCAACGAATCACAGACCGAAACATTTGGAAGACAATGATCGCAGGTCGTGACTATGGACTCCGCTATACAGGAAGCAAGAAACGCGACACCAATGGGAGCATGGTCAGCATAACTCCTCTTCCTCCTCCTCCTCCTATTCCTCCTCCTCCTCCCCCTCCAGCTCCTCCACCTCCTCTTCCTCCTACTACTGCCCGAGTGCCGTCGGTGGCGCAATTTTTCGGGACGGCGGGGTCCGAGACAGTCCTCAGAATGATTGTGCATTCATTGAGCGTTGCTGTGCCCTACCGCTCACGGTGACTCTCGGGGTACTAGGAGGGGTCATCCTGGGCGCACGCTCTGAATGAGCTCCTGGGCTGGAAAAAGGATCGACAAAAAGGTCCTCCACTCCTCGCGATGAGACTGTGTGGGCTGAAACTCGAATGGACTGCTCGAACGGACCGCTGTAAGAGCACGCCGAAGGCTGCAATGCAGGATCGCGGAGAGAGAACCGCGCCCTCCTATGTGACACCAAGAACGGCTCTCCCCCGCACCGGCGCGAGGGACGGTTCTCCACCGTCGCTGTCGCTGACGCACTCGTCCCCGCCTCTTCTTCCGTTATGTTCCTCCTCCTCCTTCTCCCTCCTTCACTCCTCCTCCTCCTCCTCCTCAACATCATCATCATCATCCTCCTCCTCCTCCTCCTCATCCTCCTCATCCTCATCCTCATCATCCTCATCCTCCTCCTCCTCATCATCATCATCATGATCACCATCATCAGCATCAGCATCAGCATCATGATCAGCATCATCATCAGTATTATGATTAGCCTTTCCATCATCAACACCGTCAACATCATCATTTCATCATTATCCGCCTCCTCGACCATTTATTATCCTTCTCCTCCTTCCACCTCCTCCTCCTCCTTCTTCTCCCCCTCCCCATCATCCTCATTCTCCCTCCTCCTCCCGCTGCCCCGTCACCTCCTCCTCGGCTTCCCCCTCATCTCTGTCATCCCCCTTTTCCTCTCCTTCGTCCTTCTCCTTCCACTCACACATTCCCCAAGGAAACGAAAAAGATACCAGTTCCGCTACTCCCCAAACCTACCTCTCCTGGAGGACGATCTGACCAGAATTCCGAGGCGAGTCGACGCTGAGTCAGAGCTTCCCCATCGATTACCAAACGCTAGCGCACGCTAGTGCACTCTGAAGACGGAGTTGCGAGGGCACACCAGGCTCCCATGATTTGCGACCGAATCCCACCCATGTTATGGCTCGAGCGTCTGAAAATCCGCAAGACCCCACGCGGGGCCGCCAGATTCGCGCTCTCGAAGCCAGAACCCTTAGTAACTCGCGCGTGGCTTGCGCGACCGACGGCGACATCCCGCAAAATTGCGCCAGGCCCGCGCTCCCGAAGCCCGAACCATTTGACAGTTACAGTAACAAGTAACTCGCGCTCCCGAGGCCAAAATGTGTTGCACATTACTCGTGGCTCGTGCTCCAGAGGACACAAGTATTCGTAAATTGCACCAAGATCGCGCTAATGCGTAGCATGAGGGGAAGGGTCCGCAAATCCAGCACAGTGTTCAATAATGACATACAAAGTTCAATGTGTTGCTGATCCCGGCCCGTCCCCGCATGGTGTTCCCATGTGCCTTGGAATGGCGCACGCACATCCCAACACGGAGATGGGGCAAGCGGCAGAGGGCGAAGCCCTTACGGATCAAAGTCTGCCACACTGAAAACGGATATTTTGCTCAGAATCCTGGGCCTGATCAACCTGATCTGGATCTTCGGTTTGACGGCTGACCCCATCATTTGTTCCACCACGTGCTCCCTCACTTCCCTGATCAATGCTACTCCTGGGGAATTCCCCGCGGATGGGTTGGTGGGGAGACTCGAAGCGTCAAGAATTGACTGCACTGGCGGAAGACGGGCCATTTTCATGATCTGAGTCTGGCATGAAACTGCACCCGGCACAATTTCGCAATGTCCAGCAGCAGTGCGTGGGCGAGGGCGGGCCATCAAAAACACCGTGCTCTCCTCCGAGACGTCTTTGCGGCGTATTGCCCCGTTACTGACCAATGGCGCTTCCGATTCAGTGTCGGCCTCTTTGACATGGTATGGCAACCATCTGTCAACATGCTCAACGATCACACTGGTGGGGGGCGGCCCGTTCGTGTTTTGCCATCTTATCGCCCCCGTGCCGCGCACAGCTTCGGAAGCCAGTGCCACCTGCATGAATGAGAACCGATCCAACCAACACACACACACACCCACAGAACACATACATAGAGATTGGGCGCGATCGAATCGGATGGTGGTCGGACACACCCTGTGGCAGGGCCATCCGGTTCTGACTGTTTCGGACTTCTCGCCTCACAAGCCTCCGGCATGGTGCAAGGGAGCAAAAATGCCAGCGTGCGCCGAAGCGCGCCCTGCGCGGGCTGCCGGTGCGCTGCCTGCTCCCACAGCTATATCATACAAGCTTCTCGCAACCATTTCATTCAATTTTCCCACAGCCACTTCTCACGTCCAACTCACGCAGACAAGTCTCACATGTTGACGTCATCTGACCAGCGTTTCAAGGGTCGGCCTGGCGCCCGCAGTCCGCTCGGAGTCCAGTTGGCCACTGCATTCGACCACCTACCGTCGGTGCTTTCGATGGTCGTACGCTACAGAGATTATCTACGGTCCTTGTGAGATCGCACCCATGGGCGAAGGCCTGCCTTATCGTGCTCGGCCACACCTTATGGGTTGCACAAGAAATCCCATCAACGTATGACTCCTCCACCTCTCACGCGGAAGTTGCCCGCATAGGTAACGTCGCAACAATTATATGAAGCATGTTTATCAATATTGCCTGAAGCTTTGCTTCTCTCGCCGCCGTTAGGGTCCATGTGCCACTCCCAACTAAAACAGCTGACGACACAATTGCATCGAACAATCGCAACCTGGATCGCAAACTATCATGTCCATTGTAAAGCAATGCCTTATATGTGCCACACGCCCCCCAGCCCATCGAAACTCGGGTCGGTACTTCTACGTCGCGAAAACCATCGCAACATAAATTTCGCCCGAGAAAAGAACCGTTTCCGCCCACTGGAAACACCTCGACGTTCTCTGATCCAATTTGCACATGCGACTGCGTAAGGGCGGCTCTCCGAATCACAACGCTGGTGACGACTGTTGTTCTGCCTGCGTGAAGCTCTAGCGCGGCCTCACCAGCGCGAATCGACAAGTCCCACAACATGTGCCGGATCTGCGCTTTCGTCGCCCAAACCGACATAATGCCGTCCGCGAAGACAAGATCTTGTAGACGCCTACCTCCTGCTTTCACACTGTATCATATTTCTCCCACTTCTGGTTTTAATTTCTCACAACGCGGGGCTCATCGGATCCCCCTGCTTTGCATGGCGGAACAATGAAATCCGCCGGCCCCCTTGTGGGCCACCAGGCTGTAGGCCGGAGGTTCGCAGTTTCCTTTACCAGTTGCAGCTTCCAGTGTCCACTGTTACGGTTATGTTTCTTGCTGCTTACTGTTCCTTGTTGACGTTTTGCTGCTTACTGTTCCTTGTTGATGGACCGCGCGAGGGGGGGCGACCCGAAAAGGGCAATTCTACCACGCCCAAATCGTATTGTCTGAATTGCTGCGGTGGGTGAAACTTGACACCCCTCACGCAGATCGGCGGGGTCAGGGTCCAAAAAGAGAGGGGATTTGCCACATTTGTAAAATCTGGTGGCACCCCTCACACAGATCGGCGGGGTCAGGGACCAAAAATTCTCCTGGCGAGGGACCCAACCAGATGCAGTTGCGAGTACCGCAATTGTGAATATCTTCTTCGATGGCGCTCCCTATGGGGCCACGAACCGTATGAGGGGTGTGCCGAAATCTGTGCGATGGGCGCATGGGAGCGCAGCCACTGGGGCCTTCGCTGGAGCTCCCTATGGGGCCACGAAACGTGTGAGGGGTGTGCCGAAATGGGTGCGGCGGGCGCATGGGAGCGCAGCCACTGGGGCCTTCGCTGGAACTCCCCATGGGACCACGAAACGTGTGATGGGTGTGCCGAAATGGGTGCGGTGGGCGCATGGGAGCGCAGCCACTGGGGCCTTCGCTGGAGCTCCCTATGGGGCCACGAAACGTGTGAGGGGTGTGCAGAAATCGGTGCGGTGGGCGCATGGGAGCGCAGCCACTGGGGCCTTCGCTGGAGCTCCCTATGGGGCCACGAAACGTGTGAGGGGTGTGCCGAAATGGGTGCGGTGGGCGCATGGGAGCGCAGCCACTGGGGCCATCGCTGGAGCTCCCTATGGGGCCACGAAGCGTGTGAGGGGTGTGCCGAAATGGGTGCGGTGGGCGCATGGGAGCGCAGCCACTGGGGCCTTCGGTGGAGCTCCCCATGGGACTATGGGGCCACGAAACGTGTGAGGGGTGTGCAGAAATGGGCGCGGTGGGCGCATGGGAGCGCAGCCACTGGGGCCTTCGCTGGAGCTCCCTATGGGGCCACGAAACGTGTGAGGGGTGTGCCGAAATGGGTGCGGTGGGCGCATGGGAGCGCAGCACTGGGGCCTTCGGTGGAGCTCCCTATGGGGCCACGAAACGTGTGAGGGGTGTGCCGAAATGGGTGCGGTGGGCGCATGGGAGCGCAGCCACTGGGGCCTTCGCTGGAGCTCCCTATGGGGCCACGAAACGTGTGAGGGGTGTGCCGAAATGGGTGCGGTGGGCGCATGGGAGCGCAGCCACTGGGGCCTTCGCTGGAGCTCCCTATGGGGCCACGAAACGTGTGAGGGGTGTGCCGAAATGGGTGCGGTGGGCGCATGGGAGCGCAGCCACTGGGGCCTTCGGTGGAGCTCCCTATGGGGCCACGAAACGTGTGAGGGGTGTGCCGAAATGGGTGCGGTATGGGAGCGCAGCCACTGGGGCCTTCGGTGGAGCTCCCTATGGGGCCACGAAACGTGTGAGGGGTGTGCCGAAATCTGTGCGGTGGGCGCATGGGAGCGCAGCCACTGGGGCCTTCGCTGGAGCTCCCTATGATCGTCATGATGGTGATGATGATGATGATGATGATGATGATGATGATGATGATGATGATGATGATGATGATGATGATGATGGCAGGAGGGAGGGGGCAGCGGGAGGAGGAGTGAACGCGGGGCGCTGTCTCTTCAAAACGAGGACCCAACACCACAGGTTGGTTGGGAACAAATGACATTTGCGACATTTCTAAAATCCGGCGGCACCCCTCACACAGATCGGCGGGGTCAGGGTGCAAAGACACAACGGATTTGCCACATTTCTGAAATTCGGCGGCACCCCTCACGCAGATCGGCGGGGTCAGGGTGCAAAAACACAAGGGATTTGCCACATGTCTGAAATTGGTGGCACCCCTCACGCAGATCGGCAGGGTCAGGGTCCAAAAACATATGGGATTTGCCACATGTCTGAACTTCGGCGGCACCTCTCAGGCAGATCGGCAGGGTCAGTGTCCAAAAACACGGGAGATGTGCTACATTTCTGAAATTCGGCGGCGCCCCTCACGCAGATCCGTAGGGTCAGGGTCGACAAACAAACAGCAGGTCCCGAAACTGCTTCACGGCGAAGCCAAAGCCTTATGACTTCGCTCTTCCATGGCCCATTCTCCGAGAGAGGGGGCCGGCGGCAGGGGGCGAAGCCCTTACGGATAGATGAACGTAAACTTCCGGAGGTCCGCATGCATTTCTGGGATCGGCGCTTGACGTGCGCTGAACCTCCCCCCTTGCCAGCGCGCGCCCACGAAACCCGCGCGGACCTCCAAACATGTTTGCTTACGCTGCCGCTGTGTCTTCGTATGTGTTTTCTTCTTCTCCGGCATCCTCCTCCTCTACCTCCTCCTTCGCCTCCCCCACCTCCCCCTTGTCCTTCCCCCGCGCTCATCTCGCACCGCCGCTCTCCGCGTTCCCCCCCCACCGTGCCCTCCCCCGCTGCGTTCGCTCTGGATCGTCGCCCTTCCTTTTTTTTATGCTGCTCGGGCTGGGAATGGCTGGAACTGAAACGCCCATCGTCCTTCCTCCTCCTCCTCCTTCTCCTCCTTCCTCCTCCCCCTTGTCCTCCTCCCCCTCCTCCTCTTCCTCCTCCTCCTCCTCCTCCGCCTCCTCACGCGCGCTCTCCTCTTCCATCCAGTCCTCCTCCTCCTCTCGTCCTCGTCAAACTGGCTCCTCTGGAAATCCTCGCCGTCCTCCTCCTCCTCCTCAGCCTCTTCCTCCTCCTCCTCCTCCGCCTCCTCCTCCTCAGCCTCCCCCTCTCCTCCTCAGCTTCCTTCTCCTCCTCCTTCTCCTCCGCAGCAGCTCCACGGAGGGAGGGCGGGTCCTGCTCACAGCGTGGCTCTCGCCCCGGCGCCGCGAACGTTCGTCTGAAAAGTTTGCAGCAGCATCCTGGATGGAGGGGCGGTGGCGGTGGCGTTCGAATGTTGCTCCCGCCGCGGCGCCGCGCATATTCGAATTTGCAGCAATGTTCAAAGATGGAGGGCTGGTCCTTTTCAAAATGTGCCTCTCGCCCCACCGCCGGGCACATTGTCTCTGAACGTTCGCAGATACTTCGAGGATAAAGGAGGGCTCCTTTTCAAAATGTGGTTCGCCTCGCGCCGCGCACATTATCCGTGGACGTTCGTTTGCAACAAACTCAAGGATTCGTACTTTTGAAGTCCCAGGAACGTTTTTCGGGCACAGTTTAGGACTATCAGGAAGCAGCAGCTTCATGGATTCGCGGAGTTGACATCCCAGGAACAGCGTTCTGGAACGATTCGGGACTGTTAGAACGGCGCTGAAGTCCCACGAACTCAAGTTTGCTACGATTGCGGATTATCAAACGCAGTTGGTGTAATGTGAATTATTTTTCCAACGGTGCATCACTTCCCGCAATTGAAATACATGTTTGTAAAGACGTGTGAAGAGGGAGCTCGGCGGGAGGGTGTTGCCGCATCGTTGGCGCGTATTGGCTCTAAGCTGGTTATCCTCCTCCTTCCCTTCCTTCTCCCTCTCCTCAAAAACCTCAAAGACCAAAACGCGCCAAGCCAATCCAAGATATACTGGCGCAGGAACGGGGTCAGACGGAGTCTCCCGACTGACTGCGAACACCTATCGGCGGGAGGAGGGGAGTCTCGTCGACCACTAGGTGCTCGGCCGCATTTACCTGTGGCGGCGCGGCAGGGACCTCGGGGCTGGGGCCAACCTGGGAGGTGGGAAGGGGCCACGGACAAGACGAGAGGGAAAAGGATTGGTCCAACCTGTGTGAAGTCCCTGGAAACAGCCACCTGCGGATCTTTGAACGTGCGGCACTCGAGACGAGCCCAGTGCAGCACGTGGCCACTACCCCCTTCCCCTTTTGAGAAGAGCTGCGATAGACGGGGACCATCGCACTGGGTCCGACATCTAGCCGTGACATGCCTCAAACAATTCTCACATCTCACGCCCGTGCCGTGAGGGACGGGCTGATGATGGGGTCCAGCAGGTTTCTGGACCCTGGCCTTCGCAGGTCGCGAAACCATACCATGGAAATATTCGGTAGACGGAACAACACCCAGGACCGATATCATCCCGAGGGCCAGGCAGGAATACTCGGCTTCGGCACGCTCGAAATCGGACAACTCCTGGGGCGATGCATCGACGATGCATCGGCGACGTCGCTGGTGTATCGGCGACGCCAGCGCGGAGAAAATAGGAATCCGCATCGCGCCGCATCGGCGATGCATCGGCGATGCGGCGCCATCCTCCAACCCTATCTACTCGGACCCCATCTAGGAGGCCAAAATCCTCCTCCTCCTCCTCCTCCTCATGTTCCTCCCCCTCCTCCTCCTCCTCCTCCTCCTCCTCATCCTTCTCAACCTCCCTCTCCTCCTCCTCCTCCTCCTCCTCCTCCTCCTCCTCCTCCTCCTCCTCCTCGCACTTCTCCTCCTCCTCCTCGTCCTCTTGGTCCTCGTCCTTCTGGTCCTCCTCCTCCTCCTCCTCCTCCTCCTCCTCCTCCTCCTCCTCCTCCTCCCTGTCCCGTCAGGTCCCCGCGACTCCGCCACTTCTCCCTCCCCCCGTCCTTCTCCCCCCCCGCCGCGGCCGCCGCGTTGAGGCGGGCGCAGGGAGCACACGGCCAGGAGGCCGAGGCAGAGCTTGCCGCCGCTCTTCCAGAGCTCCCGCGAGTAGCCGAGGGCGGCGGCCAGCCTCCACGGGGACCGCGAGCGGGGCAGAGGCCAGAAGAAGGGGAGGAGGAGAAGGAGGAAGAGGAGAAGAAGGGAGAGGAGGAGGAGACAAAGGAGGAGGACGACGACGAGGAGGAGGAGGAGGACGACAACGAGGAGCAGGGGTCTTGGGCAGGCAGTTCATCACGCCCGTTCCTGTGAGATCCTGGCGTCGCACGCGTTGCGCCCGGGGCGATTTTTCGCATGGCTGCACGGCCCTGCTGAGGGGGATCAAATTCATGGGGGATAGGAATGACATTTACCTCCAAGTCCGTGGGGAAATGGTCGCCCCCTCAAGAAACCTCGACGGGACTGCACCACATAACGATTTCTTCGAAATATGTTTGATCATTCGGCAAAAAAGCCTGGTTCTACCAACCTGGTTCTACCAACCAATCTTAATATTGCCTCCGCTCCGCAAGGTCTGGCAATGGTTACAAGCGGAAGTCCGTCGAAACTGTTTGGTACTGTGAGGGCGAAAAAGGAATCCCTTGTTCAGGCGCGGAATCGTGGACAAGCCTCAGGCCCTGGTGGACTTGGCGCCCGTCATCCAAAAATCATGCGCCTCGACAGAGTTGCATCTGGCAATTGCCGCCGGCCATGCGAGCACAGAAAGATTGACTGCCACCCCGCGAAACTTTCGATGCGGCCGACTCGCGGGAAAAAACTCCACGGCCTCTGCGTCTCGCGTCGCGCGGGCCGCGAACAAGGCGGTTCGGCGCACACTGGCGAAAAAATGTGCATCAGCGTGGTTCCTTGTGGCGGCGGTGAAGATCGCGCGCGTGCTCGGTAAAACGTCCACTATTTCGACCGTACCCTCTGCAGTTGCCAGAAACCGAAAACCATGCGGACCAAACTCTGTCTCAAGCCTTGAACAAATCTCCCTCGGGATTAAGATCAATGAGGCCAGTTCCACAGTTCGCGTACGGTGAGGTATGGGCGCCGTGAGTGCGGCGTCAACGACGCGGCCCATGGATATTGGGATCCACGCGGGCGGTTTCAGTGCCGATGCCCTATGAAGCTGCAAAAAAATGCGGGTGGCGACGCAAATGGCACTCCCTGGCGTTCATGGCCACTGTCAACGTTGGCGAAGCCGAAAATCTCCCCAGGGCCAGAATCGATACGGGCGTCGATATACTCAACATCCCCTCACGGCGGAGAGCAATGTGAAAGTTGCTCATGAGGGCAAGCGATGGCGAAATTGGTCATCCGACTTGCGTTGCTGATGACAGCGGGCGCGTTGCCCCATGATGATATAGGTAAGAACTACGACAACTAATCAAAGCGGAATGTTCGCAGATCCGATTGAACATCACATTTCAGTTGCTGCGTGCTGCCGCGGAAAAAACTGAGCCCCAAAAATATGACTCCCACTAGCAGGCGAATGATGGTTTCGGGCCCCATCACATATCGACCCGGCTCAAAACATGCCGCAGAAAGATTGGGTCTAGGGACTAGAGCTCCGGTCGTGATGTTTCGCGATGGACGGACGAGCGATGAAGGAGGGGCGATGGAAGAGACGAGCAGAGGCGAGGTCTGGAGTCGATTAGAGAGGGCCAAGCGGCTGAGATCGGAGGGTCGAGGGGCGGTGGGGGCATGAGGGGCGAGGAAGAATGATGACAACGGAGGGGAGAAAAGCGAGAGGGGAGGGACGACGGAAAGAGGGAGGGAGGACCGAGGGAGATCGGGGGCCGATGATGCGACGCGGGGCATTGCAATGCAGCGCGCTCCTGTGTGACTGCTGAACGCTTACAGCATCGGCGTACGGAAATGAGGCTCAGGAAAGGAATGCGGGAGGCTCGTCAAGAGAGAGGGGAGGCGCCACGCCCCTGTCTGGACAATCGGGCTCGAGCACTCGGCTCGATCGAATCTGAGGAGAATGCGGGGGGAGAGAGGAGGCAAGCGGGGCGAGGGAGGGAGGGAGGCGGAAGGCGTGGGGACCAGGGCGAAGGGAGGAGGTCGCATGGGCACGACTGTGAACTTTCGGAGGTCCGCGCGGATTCCCTGCATCGGCGCTGGCCTCCCCCCCCCCCTGGCGCGCGGAGTGCGCCAGGGGCAGCGCAGGAGGCGCCGCCAAGGGGGGCCTGGCGCCGAATCGACACATCCGCGCGGGCTCCCCATGGTCTCTGTCTGTGCGACGCCTTATGTTTGTTCGTAGCATCCGTAATATGATTATGTTCCTCCTACTCCTTAGGAGTATTACTCCTATGTGGAGATCCAGTAGTAGTATTATGCTTCTTTTTCGTATAACTGTTATGATCCTTTTTTATGGTTAATATGATTACGATGTTGATCATTATTACGATTATTGTTATTATTATTATTACTATTATTATTATGGCTATTATTATTATTATCATCATTATTATTATCATTATTATTAGTATTACTATTATTATTATGATTATTACTATTATTACTATTATGATTATTTGTCTTCGTCTTTGAGAGGGGGGGGGGAGCGGGCTCGGCTCGCCTGCGCGCGCCGTGGACATTCCCGAGCAACACCTCTCGTGCAAGGCAGCGGGCTTCCCCGCCGCCCTGCCGGCTGCCCCCGCCCGCTCCCGCATCCGTCTGCCAGGCAGCCGTCTCCCCCGCTGCTCTGCCTGTTGCTCAGTTTCCTGCTCCTCCTCGTCCTCCTCGTCCTCCCGAGCCTTCTCCTCTTCCTCGTCCTCTTTCTCGTTCCTCCTCCTCCTCCTCCTCCTCCTCCTCCTCCTCATCATCATCATCACCGCCAGCAGCATCATCATCATCATCATCATCATCATCATCATCATCATCATCATCATCATCATCAAAATTCTGGTCCTCCACCACCCCCCTGTCGCCTCCTCCTCCGGCTCTTCCTACTCCTGGGAGGGTTGAGAGAGCTCAGGAAAGTAAGCCAAGCGGGCGGCTGGTTGTTTCTTTCAAAGCAGAGCCACCGCTGGGAACGTGATATCAATGCAGCTGCGGCCAGTGCGGAAATGCTCAAGTTGCGCACTTTCCATTGTGCAGCCCCCATGCCATGAAATCCACACACAAATACTCCCAATACTCCTTTTCGTCCATCCTCCTCCTGCTCGTTCTGCTGTTTACTCCTCCTCAGCCAGCTCCCGCTACTCATCGTGCTCCTCATCTTCTTCACTCTTCTCATTCATAAAGATCCTTCTTAGGCATGCGCGTTCCACTACTCCTCAAAACCAAAAAAAAACACTTGCAAATGGCCAGATCCGCCGAAGGGGATTTACAATCCATTACATCGAGGCAGACGTGTTTTCTGTGGAACTTTTCGCAAGTAGGCAATTTGCGAAGATGAAGTGTAGGCTCCATCGGTGGTCTGCCACAGAATCAGTCGTCAGTCTCCCCGCGCGCCTCGGCCGCTTCGACCGAGTCGCGCGGAACGACGGACTGCCGATAAACACTTGGGGGCCTCGGAGCATAGCCATGCGCTTGCCAAATGCTGGGCCGGCCAGGCTTACATTGGTAGCATCTGGCGATATGAACTGCCCAAACTGACTGAGATAGGCACCCTGGGTACAGATGCTTGCCGGCAACGCGCCAGCGCACATTGCGCCAGTAGCAGCCCCGCGGCAAAAGAGATCACGGCCAGCCCATTTCGCGCCCAAGGCACGGGCAGAGGACGGCTCAGACCAAGCATCCTGCATAAATTATGTAGTGCTATCTGCGTGGACAACCTCTGTCATCCGCAACTTCGTAGAATCATATGCAGATGGAGGGCCGACGGAGTCGGTCAAACTACAAAAAACATCGCAAATTTCCTACTGCACTCGAACATGTGCCCTGCGACCGTTAAAAACATCGTCTGCCCGCGAATCCAGACGTCGCACGCCACCGCGACCGTCTCGAAGCCGCCCCCGTCCATGATGTCCCCGCGCATCTCGCGCTCGGCCGCGCATGCGGCCTTGCGTCGGAGTTCATAGTGCGACACTGGGTCGCCCGACACGCGCCCTCATGCGTCGCTCGCAGAACTGGAGAACCTATCTCACAGATCTCCACGAAGGCGCAGCCCGCAAAACTCCCTAACGTCGCTCGTTCCACGCGGACTGGGGCGCCCGTGCTGACGAAGCCGTCGATCGGGGGCCTCGTCCAGCGCATCTGGCAGTCGTTGCATGTCCACCATGGGGTCTTCTTGTTGCCCCGATGGCGCATGGCCATCTCGGGGAGCGTGGGCACGGCCTGGTCGGTCTTCTCAGTGCCCGAACCGTCGGGTTCCAGCCTCCTGCCCACCGCGAGCCCCTCCCAACTCGGGAGAAGGGTCGTGGGTCGCCAGGCTGTTGCGCGGGCGCCGCCGCCCCCTGATCCATGCCCGGGCGCCCCCGATCAAGTTCTTGTAGGCTTTCGCGCCGACGCGGGCCCCCGCGCGGCGCTCAGTGGCTGCGCGGCCCAGCATGGAGAACAGCTTCAGACAAGATTGTTTGCATTGCCACGTCTGCTTCTCTGGGGCCACCGCGGGGCCACTGAACCTGCCGGCGGTCACGGGGCCCGGCTGCGGCTACCTTTTGGCGAGGATGCGTTCTGCGCGGCGCAGCGTCGCGCGGGGCGTCGGGGGTGGGCAGTTGGCTGAGAAGGACAGATTCGAGCCGAGGGCGCCTGCAGATTCGCGTAGAAGACGGCGCCCTCAGGCTCTGCGACTTGGCAGCGCCTCTGAGTCTGCGGAGAGACCGTCGCGATCTTCTTCTTTATCTGCACCCCCCCCAGAAAATCAGAAAATGACCGCAATGTGTTCGCCTGCCCGTACCTCGTGCACTCGACTCGCTGCCGTCGAGTGCCCCCCATGAGATAATGCCGCCCGGCATATCAAGGACCGCGCCAAACTGACTCTGCATTTCCACTAGAGGTGGGGGGGGCACATCACAAGCGATCGCATGCGCCGCGCGAGTACCGCAAGTCTTAGCCACAACAAGAGGTAAGGTCCAGCTGGGGAGGAACACGGTAGATACCCCAACGCCCATGGCGTCCATTCCGAGCGCAAGTATCAGTATAGGCTCCACACCGTAAGTACCTCCCAGATATTTCACCATTTTCTCAAAATGATCTCTGCCACATACCCCGTGCTGAGCTCCAGTGCCCACCAAACAGAAGCATATCTGAAGCCAAAGTCCACTGAACATGCATCTCCAGCGTCGGCAGTTGCAAGATAGGAAGGTGGCAGAACTGACTCTAAACTGGATGGTAGGTTTGAAAGGAACTGCTCGGGAACCGCCGAAGCCTGCTCGTCGCTTGCGCCCTCGCTCGCCTGGCCAGTTCGCCCCCCCCCCCCCCCCCCCGAGCCCAGTGCCCCATCTTCCCACATCGGGCACATTTGAAGCGACTCATCAACTTTGATTTGGTCGACGGCTTCGGTCGGGCATGTGCATTGCGATTCCCTCGTCGTTTTCCTGTCCGCGAGCCTTTGGACTTCCCCTTTGGGTGTTGCGGTTTGAAGAAGCCTCGTCCAGGCTTCCGTTTGCGTGAGTATTGTTGTACCTGACAGTAGCTCGCGTTAATGGCGACGGCGTTCTCCTCTTCTAGAACCAAGTCGTCGGGCGAGTCCCCAGCCGCGAAGATTACAATGTCGTCGCCCATGCACTTGGTGGCCTCGGTCATGATCTCGCCTTCCTCATGGGACTCGGGCTAGGTAAACAAAGAACGTTCCATAGTAATCCGTTGGAAGTCGTCCAGGTCCGACTCCTGGCCCTCGCATCCGTCACCATCCCCATGATATCCGATAGAATGCGAGGAGAAACTCACGCAATGGATACGACGGCCGCCTTTTGCCAGAGGTAGTGGTCGTTCGAACACCCGAAGCTTCTCACACACCCAACCAACGTCGCATGATCCTTCCGTAGCTTTTCACACACCCAAACAAAGTCGCATGATCCCTCTGTCAAGTGCTCAACCGTATCCCAAACAGCGTCGTGGAGCTTGGGTTTTCTAAATAGCACGCGTCCCTTCCGTGCTTCTGGCTAGGTCATGCGCCTCTCCAGTTTTCGGAAAAGCACGCGCTTGCGCGCAATGTAGTTGACCGGGGAAACATATCGCTTACGCTTGGTGTCGTCTGAATAGAAAAGTTTTTTTTTTATATAAATATATATATATACATAATATATATAAATATATATATATATAAAGACCTTCGGCATCCTGCGGTCTTGGTATTGGGCAACAGCCTTCTTGATATGTTTAACCACAACCTGCCCGCCGCCCTCTGAAAACAGTTGGACCTCGATGGATTCGCTAATGATATTGAAGTCGTCTTTGGCATAGCGATGAATGAAGTATCCGCGTTGTGCTTTCGGGCTTCTGGTAGTAGCGAGCCACATATGCAACTCCGTCATGTTAGGCTCTAGCAGATCTTCCGGCACTTTTCCATCAAAAATGAGATTTCGGTCGTTTGGTATCCTTTGGGCCTCCGATTGTTCAGGAAATTGTCCCCGTTGGCGATCAGAAGATCAAGCAACGGCATATCCCAAATTGGTCGGGGCAAGAGGGGTGAAAAAGGCATAGCACGTCCTCGCAGAGGCGTGTTCTGCCGATCTGGTGCACCCGGCGAACCACGTCCCCACGGAGTCCAAGCTGATAAGGATTGTTGCGAATTGGGTTGCGTCCCCGTCCAGGGCTGTGATAACCAGCGGGCCCAGTGCTGATCTGACCAGCCCACGTCGCCATCACCTTCCCAAGGAACGTCTTCTCGTCCTCCAGCTCCTCCCCAATGATCCTGATATGGCTGTAACCAAAGATATGCTGGATGTTAATATTCTCAAGGTTGAGCGTCGCCTGGAGAGTCCATGGGAGTGATCGGTGCAATATGGTGGAGGACGGAAAAAACGGGATAAGAGCAAAGAGTACATCACCCGAAAATCAAATAACAGCGGAGTCGTCTTGACTTCCGTCGTAGATCTCAACCACAGGCTCCGCTGCCACTGTGGAGTGTACGGGAGTGGCTGTATGGATACAGAGAGACACGAGGTACAAATAGGTGGACCCGTGCTAGAAGAGAGCACGTTCTTTCTTTTCACGAAGGCGTGGGCGCGTCCTTCACCAACGTGCCATGATATGGAGGCGCACAAGGGAGCACAAGCGGCGCACAAGGGAGTACAAGCTCAAGGGCCCTTGTGAACCGATATGGCGGCGCACAAGGGAGTACAGAGAGAGGCCTGGAGGAGGAGGGGCTGACAGGGGCCTCACAAACACATACTGGGGTGACCCCCCTCGAATGTACCAGGCTGAAAGTTCAAGCATAATCAACAGCCCGCCGCAGGTGCCGATACTTGTAAAGCAATGCAAAAATGCATGTCAGCGAAACCCAGAATCGGGAAATAAATCAACATGACATCGGATAGAAACGGAATGCGCGCCGGATCGAGCTGCATCGGTACGGAAACGAAATCGAATCGAACCAGCTGCGCCAGGGTACAACACAACGGCATGCAAACATAGTGACGCATCGCACCGTCGGAATATGAAACAGACGGGTCCTTAGGGAAAGGTGTCCTGAACTCAGAGTCCTCCAGAACCAATTCTTCATCCTGTCGTTTTCAAACAGTCCTGGCAGTTCGTGGACCTCCCGTGGAAGCCACACGGCTGAAGAACATCTGAGGACCCCTTTCCCTCAGGACCCGCTTCCCTCATGGCGAGAAATCGAAGCAGATTGAGCCCGCCGGAATCAGTATCGGATCGGATCGATCGGATCGAAGTGGCCCCTTGGAGTGGCGCACCCGTTGGACCCCTGGGCCCCCAGGCCGCTGGGGGGGCCACGACCCCGCGGCCCCCCCTTCCCCCCTCTCCAATGCCCTCCCCCTGCTGCTGCTGCTGCTGCTGCTGCTGCTGCTGCTGCTGCTGCTGCTGCTGCTGCTGCTGCTGCTGCTGCTGCTGCTCATCCTCCTCCCCTCTTCCTCCTTCGGACGCTGCCATCACCTCCTCCTCCTCCTCCTCCTCCTCCTCCTCCTCCTCCTCCCCACCGCCATGCCCCTGACCCCCTCGAGGCCGCGTGAACCCCCCCGTGTCTGGGCCTCTCACCGGCTGGGAGTCGCAGCGGCGTCTGCTCGCCCCGAGGCGTCCAGGAGGCGTCTCGTGGCTTTTTCAACCCAGCGGGCCAGGCGGACGGATGATCATGAGGTTCAACAATCGATGAAGCGAGGCGTCCGACACAGCTTTTTTTTCCCCGAGCGTCCCGAACGAGGCGTCCCACAAGCGTGAGATCCGAGGTGGGTTCGTGCGAGCGGATGCCCCTCACTCCGATGAAGACCGGTATGGGCCACTGTCATTAGAGGCTGCCGACGTGGGAGGAAAACAACAAGTGGACTCGGAGTCCGCAAATGCGGATCCCGCTCGCTTCCCTGGCGCGTACCACCTGTTCTAACTCATATCAAATAATATGTATCCACTGTGCCTTTCCTCCTTTCAGCTCGCCCCCGCCGCATCACCAGACCGACTCACCTCAGCGCCGCCCCTCTCTTGCGGACAGAAGGCCAGGCTCCCCCGAGCCAGGCACGCAGAGCCAGACATGCTCTGGTCGAGGCACAGCGCCGCCGCCTCCGGGTCTGGAGGCGGAGCCGGCGAGCGATGAAGACGAGAAGGGAGGCTGAGAAGGGAAGAGGGGGAAAGATGAGGCCGAGGCTGGGGAGGGAGGAGGATGGAGGGGGGAGGAGGGAGGGAGGCTGAGGAGGGAAGAGGGACGACGAGGAGGCAGAAGAGGAGGGGGGGCCAACAGAAGCGGACGAGACGTTCGGCGCAGTCCATGACCACACGTTGGGGCGATCGGCTTCGCGGAGCTCCGCGCCTTCAGGCACGAGTTCCGCCAAGCGCCAGGCAGGCGGCCGGCCACCGGCTGCACGAGGGTGCCTGCCAGCAAGGAGTTGGGCCGAGGCGCGGCGCGGCGGCGTGGTGCCGCCCCGCCGCACGGGCAACCGGAGGGGAACAGACAACGCCCAGAAGCACAGAAGCTCGGAGGTCAGCGCGGATCTATCGGATCGGCGCGGATCGGGCGGGTGGTAATGGGGTGTGACCCGCATGGGGGGTGAAGAGAAAAGGGCCTGAAGGGGCGCTCGAGGGAATGCTAGGCGCACTGATGAAACGACGGCGACAGCGACCAGACGGGGGCACTGATTGAGAGGACAAGCTGGAATGGCTCATCCGCGGTCGACGGACAACCATGTCTCCCCACGCGCACGCTGATGAGTCGGAAACGCTGGCAACAGCTGCTGTGCGGCCGCACTGACCACTGCTGGCAACAAGGTGGAAGGGCGATCTGCTCCTTTCGTTACTTACTGATCAGCCTCATCCAGTGTCGAAGCAAGCTGCAGGTCCTTGGACAATGCAGAAACGGACAAGGACGAGGAGAGGAAGATCAGCTCGACTGAGACAGGGTGCACATCCGAAGCAGAATCGCACCCAGATAATGAGAGTTCCGATGACATCAAAACGCGCCTGCGCCTCAGTACGTACGCGGAGGAGGGCATGCACGAATTGCGTGAGCGCCCAACGCTTTCGACGCGTCCGTAACAACTCGCGAAGGAGGTGACGGACGTGACGATAGGGAAAGAAGACGAATAATAAGATGATGAAGTAAGAAGGATAACAATAATAATAATAATAATACGAATAAGAGGAATACTAATGATAATAAGAAGAAGCAGAGGAGACATTGGAGGAGGAAGGCGGTGTGGGGTGGGATGAGTGCTTGTGTGTGTGCTTGTGTGGGTTTGTGTGTGTGGGTGTGGGGGGGGGATTTCGGGGAAGGGAAAAAGCCTTGGCACGGGGAAACCGACAGGCGAATGAGCTAAGGTGCGAAAGAAGAGACGGTCAGTCATGGGCTCACGTCCCCAAGTCGCTAACAGGCGGCGGACGGCAGACCCCCCTCACAGTCCAGGCACAATTCTATCTGTGGGAAGACCGGGTTGTGTTCTCCACGCCGTCCGCCCCCCCCCGTCGTGCCACCCGTCCCGCTGGAGACCGAAGGGTCCAGGGAGAGTGGACGGAGGCGGGAGGTGGCAGGGGAGGAGGGGGAAAAGAATGGTGGACGGAGAGGGAGGGAAAGCAGGGGGCGGAGGGGGGGGAAGATGGCGTCCTGACTGACCGCACCGTCCCCTGGGCCGCGACAGACAAGGACGCTGATCACGGAGCAGGGGCGACCCTGTGTCGTCCCCGTCCTACAACTCCTGCTCTCTCTCTCTCCCTCTCTCCCTCCGTCCCGGCCCAGGTCCCTGGTGGGATAGACGCCTCTCCGGCACTCGTTGCACACCACGCTCCTCATGCTGCTGTTACGCCTCCTCCTCCTCCTCTTCCTCCTCCCTCCATCAATCCACCTCCTACCCAGTCACTCCTCCTCCTCCTCCTCCTCCACCTCCTCCCCCTCCTCCTCCTGCTCCCCCCCATCCACCTCCTCCTCCTCCTTCGCCTCTGGCCCATCCTACTTATCCTCCTCCTCCTCCTCCTCGTTTTCCTCCTCCTCCTCTTTCTCCTCCCTTCCCCCCTGCGCTTCCCAAGCGAGAACGCTGCAGGCAAGGGAGGCGGGCCGCCTAGGAGGCGCCCGATGGCCTGGCGGGTGAGGTGCGCGGCACGGGGGTTCCGCCAGGGTCCCAGGCGAGCTGCGGGAGGAGGGAGGGGGGATGAGTGGATCGATGTCACACTATCGAAACAGTGGAACGCAATTTGAGGACAGGGGCGAAGGATACAGAAAAAAAGGGGAAGAGGAGAACAGAACAAGTGGCAGGGGACAGAGAAGCCCAAGGGAGGCGGACGGAGGAAACAGGAACTGACGCGAACAGAAGATGGAGGAGGACAAAAAGGAGAGGATGGGGGATGAGAGGCGATGAAGCATGGCCTGGAAGAGTGCCACGGGCACAGGCGGCTTCTGCAAAAACGTGCAGGTCGCGAATATAAACCCGACGAGCAACGAACACATACCCTTCAGCATTCCCTCCATCCCTCACTTACCGCCTCGGCCCCCTCCTCCTCTCCGTTTCCTCGCGCACACGATTCCGATGATGGGGCGCACACGAGCGTCTGCAACGGAGCTCTCCTCGGCCGCGTCTTTGCGACCATGATAATGTGATGGCGCATCACCTCGGAAGCGCCGCGCGCTCGATGGTGTGCAAATTCTACGCAATGTCAGACATGGGACGCTAGTAGCATGCGCACGCTGAGCCGGGCGAAACCATCATCACGCCCCCCATGTGGCTTGGGAGCCTGTAGTAGATAGCCTGGCGAAAGTCACCCAACGGCCAGTGGGTCACTTGGCTGTTTTGCAAAACTTCCTCGGCGAGGGGGAGGCCGACGAGTCGTCAAACAATTTCCCGAAGCGCGTGTCGCCGCAAGGATGCGGGGGAGGATAAGATGGCGCGGACCAAAGGAATGCAGCAACGAAGCAGCGGAGAATGGGGAGGCGGCGTTCGCGGCGCAGTTGGCCTCAAATATAAAGACAAGAACGCCACCAACGAATACCAAACACTACCGAAGCTCCGCAAGGACTTCTTGGATCGGCCCCGGCGCGCCAAGGGCGGCGCCAGAGGCGCCGCAAAAGCGTGGCCTAACGCCGATCCAACAGCATCGCGGGGACCTCCGGAATTGTGTCTATGCCGATCTTCCTCTTCGGGGATAGGAAGGCCAGGCAGAGGAAAACGAAACGCCAACAGGAGGGAGCGCCAAGAACGAAATGCCCGCGGCCCCTGCCCGCCAAACACACGCACACAATAGAGCGGACCTGACGCTCTCACCCCATGCGGGGACGACTTTCGACCCAAGAATACATGGGCGAGCCACTTGCGACCCGCTGGTTTCCATTCTTCAGCCGAACAGGGGCACGGCGCCTGCATGCAAACCCGTGAACTGCTCAGACGTCTGCTGGATTCGCCACCGTGCCTCCTGGCACGTTGAGGCGTGGAAGAATGCAAATTGCTGTATGGCAAGGTTTCAGTGGTCCTCTGACGGGGCCTTCCACCCTTCTCATCGCAACCAGTTGCGTGCAGCACGCTTCTTTCTGGGGGTCCCTGGGCGGTTATGGTGTCGCCCTGGGGTAGCTGCCACCTAGAATGCTTCGCTGGCACGGTGGCGGAATTGCCAAGGAGGCACCTGGGTATGTGCTCGCCAAAATGGCTGGTGACTTTGGAAGACCTCTTCGTAGGACACCTCTGGGAAAACGGAACGATTGCACGAACAAAAATTTAGCTACTGGAGCTCCGAACGGATTTCTTGGATCCGCGCTGGACCCTTGGCGCGCTGAGCGCGCCAGGGGCTCTGGCGCAGATCCATGGAATACGCGCAGATTTCCGAAAGTCTATCTTTGTCGGCGACTCCGAAGGATGTGGTTTGCAAAACATGCGGTTTGCAACCATCGCCCCGGGTGGCACCCTACGGGGCGGGCGCGGACCTCAATGGAGTTCTCCGCCGCGCCCCGAGGAAGCCCGACGAGGACAGCGTCGCGCACCCCGGGCCGCAGTGGCGCCGATCGCACACCCTGGCGTAACCACGCCCTGTGCAGTCGCCGCCTCTGAAAGAGGAAGGACGAGCCGGGCGGTGGCACCGCCGCCGTTCGGCCTGGCCCCTCGTCGGGCCTCGCCGCACGGCGGGCGCGCCCCTTCTGGTGCCCGGGAAGGCAGGGGCGCCGTCAGCACTGGGCCCTCTAGCTATTTGGCTACACGTGCACCCAATGTCTCTCACGAATGCACAAGACACCGCGAAAAGGGAGGGCGCGCCGTTGGATCCCCCAGGAGGAAGGGGTTGGGACCCCCCCCCTTCCCCGATCCGTCGTCGGGGGCCCCCCCCTTTTCCCGATCCGTCGTCGGGGACTCCACCCCCACCTTCCCCCCTTTCCCGATCCGTCGTCGGGGACCCCCCCCTCCCCCCCTTTCAAAACGGGGGGGGTCCGACCTCCCCCCCCCCCCCCTCCCACCCTTTGGCTGCCAACATCCCCCCCCCCTTTCGCCACGGCGCCCCCGAGCTCCGCAACCCGACCCGTACCACCCCTCAACACTAATCCTCACCCTAACTCCAACCCCTAACACTAACCCCAAACCCGAACCCTAACCCCAAACAGTACTCACTACTCATTACGCACTACCCACTACCCACTACCCACACCTCGCTACTCACTACTCAGTTCTCACTACTCACTTCTCACTACTCACGACTCACTACTCAATACCCACTGCTCACGTATCACCATCCACTACTCCCTACTCCCTACTCCCTATTCGTTACTCACTACGCACTGCTCACTACAAGCTACTCACTACTCACTACCCACTCCTCAACAACTCACGATGTACTGCCCACAACGTACTACCCATTATTCACCAATCACAAATCACCAACCAATACCCACTAACCACTATCCAGTACTCGCTACTCACCACTCATCTCTCACTACTCACTGCCCGCAACTCAGTACTCACTATCCACTAGTCACTCGTCGGTTCTGCCCACTCCTTACACAGTACTCACTACTAACTACTCACTACTCGCTACTCCCTACACCCTACTCGCTACCCAATACGCAGTGTTCACCACCCGCTACTATCTACTCACTGCGCTCCCACTACTC